ATTTATTCAACAGAGAGAGACACAGCGAGAGAGGGAACACAAGCAGGGGGAGTGGGAGAGGGAGAAGCAGGCTTCCCGCGGAGCAGGGAGCCCGATGCGGGACTCAATCCCAGGACCCTGGGATCATGACCTGAGCCGAAGGCAGACACTTAACGACTGAGCCACCCAGGCGCCCCTATATCCATATTTTAATGCTAACACTGATGCTGTGGAAACAGGCTTCTCCCTTGTTGTAATTTGTTGGATTTTTTCTATGACAAACACTATTGTTTGGGAAAGTCAAGTTCTTCTGGAATAAGTAAAAAATACAACAGATCTCATTTACATTGTTAATGTCCATAAATGGCCTCTTAATGAGTGCCCACTCTAGTAGAGAATAAGGCTGATCATTTCTTAATTTAAAGATATCCACTGTCATGCTATGAACTTGAATAAAGGTGGGCTGCCCCTAAATTCAAAGCACTGTGTTTTAAAGAAATCACAGTACGGTTTCACTTAGGCTACAGTGGTCCTATGATGATTATATAGTTTGTAGAAGATCCATGTAACTTTTTACCTAATTATGTGCAAGGGTGCTATATCATTAGCATACTCATCAGAAAAAGTAAATGCAACTTGAACTTGAAACAACTTTTTTTTTTTTTTTTAACTTTTAGGCAGCTTTCAGATGAAAGCATGAGGTTGAAATTATTGGTAAAAACTGAGTTTTGGAATTGCATTTCTGTGCAGATTTCGATGATCCATGTTACCCTTTTCTCCAAACACCCTAAGAAACTGAACATTGGATACATTAACTTGTTTTATTATCTTCAGTCCAGAAGCTTTTATAGACAAGTCTGAGCTTACCTATTGTGAGTTTTATAAAAGTCGACCTTGTGTGCTGAATTTCTGGCTCCAATATGTGCAATGTTATTGTCCCTTTTCTCTCTCTCTTCTCCCCAAAACTTACTGTCCTCTTGCCTCCCGTGTACAAGCCTCTTCTTAGAGAGACCTTGAATCTCAATGTCTCCAAATCTGCTTTCAAACAAACATTAGAAGCAAAGCACACAATTTTATTTTAAATATGTACTATTTCGACCTCATTACAAATGTTCTTCACCCAGTGTGTTTGTGCCTTATTTTAGAGTTTATAAAACTCTGTGTTTGTACGTTCACATTGAAGAATCATCTTAGAATACTGCTCTTTGGTATCATGAAAAATGCCACTTCGACTGATCTGGGCAAATCAGAAGAATGGATATTCAATAGCTATCCGTAACTGATGTTTGTTTTTGCAAAAAAAAAAAAAAAAGTTGTTTCAAGTTCAGGTTGCATTTACTTTTTTTGATGAGTATGCCAAGAAGAAAAGATCCTATAAAGTTCACTCTTCATTGGACATTCAATGGACCTCCATTATTTGTAACTATGTTTCTTGTCTCCACTCTCCATTCGCAGCTCCCGTTCTTATATACCAGAACATAAACCATGAGTTTGTACTTTTTAAGTTCTAAAAGCGGACGATGACAGCTGAGATACTAAACCGGACTTCTCTGTGTGTGAGACAGGCATGCAGGTGGTTTGATAAACAGTGAAAGCAGCACATTTATCCAAGTGCAGGGAGAGTGGTGACTGGCCAGGGTTAAATGAAACAGTACAGATCTGCCTTAGGGCCATTCTAAACAAGAGATTAAGAAGTGGAACCCAAGCCAACAAGGGAAAGAAATGTTGACTCTGTCAGGAATAAGTAGAATGTCACCTTGAATGTTCTTGCAAGGTCTTATCAGTAACCAAAGGCATTCTTAGTAAAGCTACATTCCTCAGTCTTATGGGGTGGGTTTCTGTAAACTTTGGAAATATACTCACGCTGGATTATTAATATCTTTAATTCCACAAACATTAATGGAGCACCTAAAATGTGTCAGAGTCTGTGCCAAGAGCCTGAGATACAGAGGAACAATGTCTAACACAGAGGCTCTCAACGCTGGCTGCCGCTCAGGATCAATCTCAATCTCCCACGGCCATAAAATAACATCAGTAGCTCAGCCCCACCCTCAGGGGTTCTGAGTCAGTGTGTCTGTGACGAGGCTTCTGCAGCTTCTCACAGCTCCCCAGCGGACTCACTATTCAGCTGGAGCTGAGACCGGACCCTTACGTCCTAGGCTCTCATACTGCCTTAGAGAAAACCCCAAGACGCAATTAACTGCAGTAGTAGGATGGAAGAACGCTGTGGCCTCCCAGGTACCCCAGACTTTGTCTGGGGTGGCGGGCTTCACAGGCAGAGGATGAGGGACAAGGAAGGCTTCCCCAGCACAGTGACGCAAACCTATTCCAGAATTCTCAGTAGCCAGAGCTAGCTAAGGTTCCTTGAAGAAGTACTACATGCCAGGTTCTCTTGATGGCTCCGCTGACATCTATCAGAGGTAGGCATGATACACACGTCACCAGAGGAAACTGAGGCACAGGAAGATCAGCGACTTGCTGAAAGTTCACAACACTTGAAAGTGGCAGAGTTAGGATTCGAACCAGACACTCTGCCTCCAACTCAACATGATCTCTGGGCGAAAGAAAGTAATGGATTTAGGTGATTTTTAAGTCTTAAAAATCCAAAAGATAGATGCCAAGGAGAACTGTCTCTCAAACAGCTATTGTAGTGAACATACTTGAAGACACGGTCAGATTTTATTATTTTTTTGGTCCAATCCCATTTTTCCTGTTTTTCTGGGGTTTTCGAAACACTGTGAATCTTTTACTTTCCTTCAAGTTGACGTAAGTAGAGACCCAAAGACAGCAACACTACAGAAAAGCAATTTCTTGTCTGAGCTGAATCCAACCTGAGCCTCAGGGAGACTCTGAGAGCTACAGGGGTCTGCCAAGGGCACACCTCCACAACGTCAGGGACACTAGGACATTTTTTTGTCCACCCCTTGGCTGTATGTTTTAAGTAGATAAGGTTCCAGACCTGAGCCATAAGCAGCAGACCTAGGCAGGAGTTAACTAATTAGTTATTCCAGTCCAAATGCTCCAACAGGTCACGCTTCCTGACACAAGCATTTCCTACCAGAGTGGGCCAAGTTCACGGTTCTTCAAAGTACCCCTGACATTATAAAATGTAGGAAACAAGCTATATGTTAGCTAAATACCTTCACGTTTATGATGCAAATGAGCCTTATGAGACTCTTAGACAAAATTTTAATGATAAATTTTAAGCAAATAAAGCAAGAACGAATTATGGTTTTATTCAATAAAAGGTAATTATAAGATATTTCGCTATTAATTTGAATTAAACATGCAAAGAAACATTTTCATCTCAGATCATATCGCTCAGAGGTACAAGTAAGGTATTTATTTTTGGCAACTTTCAGTATTATTGTTTTGACTCCAGATGTTTTCTCGTGAATGTTCCTCTCTCCTCCCCTAATGATATTTTCCCGAAACTCCCAGTTGAATGCATGCCCACACACAGACCTCCAAATCATCCCAGGCCTTCTTTGTTTCTTCTCTGGGACATGTATGTCCTGTGAAGCTCCAGGGCACCAAGCACACAGTAGATCTTCATAAAACCATTTAAGAATAGACACTGAATGGGAAGAGGTGAAATCTTCTAAAGAGTTCTGACCACTGCTTTCCCAGGAGCCTATCTTGCCAGCACTGAGTCCTGAGCTAAATCAACATGCACATCTATCGGAGAGGTACAGCGGACCATCATGTGGGCACTGCCCCTGGAGGCGAGAGGCCACGACGCTCACCTCCTCTCTACTGCCCACTGGCCACACAGCTAGTACCAAAGTATTTACTTCCCCTGACAGGGAGGCTAATAATACCTTACTTGCCAAGATGCAAGAAGCCTGTCCACATGATTTTACAAGGTTTCTTCTAGCTCCTAAATATGACACATCTCTGCACCAAACCTTTCTCAGTCCCATACAAACAACACAGTTTGTGATAAACACAGAACTTCATCTGAAGGTGCTGTGGGAGAGATGTGTGATAAGACTGGCAGTAATCTGGGTATTTACCCCAAAGATACAAATGTAGCGATCCGAAGGGGCACCTGCACCCCAATGTTCATAGCAGCAATGTCCACAATAGCCAAACTGTGGAAAGAGCCAAGATGTCCATTGACAGATGAATGGATAAAGAAGATGTGGTATATATACACAATGGAATATTATGCAGCCATAAAAAGGAAGGAGATCTTGCCATTGGCAACGACATGGATGGAACTGGAGGGTGTTATGCTGAGTGAAATAAGTCAGTCAGAGAAGGACAAGTATCATATGATCTCACTGATATGAGGAATTTGAGAATCAACACAGAGGATCATAGGGGAAGGGAGGGAAAAATGAAACAAGACGAAACCAGAGAGGGAGACAAACCATAAGAGACTC